GAAAACATCAACTGATTATTATTTAAGAAATATTTTTTAAATTGTATGTTTTTACAAAATAATCAATTTAGACACATTTGTAATATCATTGCTTTTTGGAAGTACATACATGTGAGAACACTTGCTATTGATGATGAATAGTAAGTCTCAGAAGTATGCTAGCATAACTGATGAAAATCCTGAACATTCGCTATAACTATGGATCAAGAATCGTATCTCTGGTGATAATAATTCTTTAAATAATGTTTATAATAATTTGTGGTTTTACTAATTTTCCTTCATTCATTAAAATGTCGGTTTTATATTTTTTTATTTGCTATATTAGCAATTCCATTAATAATATTTTACTAATGTCTTGCATTCTAAAAGAAATATGTATAGATGAGACGATGATCTGGTGACATGACCATAATCCCCATTTCTATATTACTCAAAATTGAGCCCATGCTTCTGTTCTGGTTTCTGCTCAATCCGAGGAAGGAAGTTACTAGCAATGTAGATGGGAAATATTTCAAAAGCTTTCAACAGAATGTTTCCCAGTTAATACCTTTTAAGAACCTCGACTTAATTCTCTCAATGTACTTGAAAACTGGTATTTTCACGGAACCTCCCCCCCTCCACATATTTCTGTGTAAGAAATATGGCGAACTCCGATATCTGCACATGTGGGTAACAGGAAACATCTGATTTTTCATGTCCTTTAACTGAGGATATTCGCATAAAATCCTCACAAGCTGGTCTCCTGGCATTCCAAAGATTTCTAATTGAAGATGAACATCAGTATAAGTAGTTTCAGAAAATTATGCAAATATTGTCATCCTACAGCATGTCAAATGTATGTTCTCATACTGCATAAATTTAGTGAACTTTTACATCCTGTGAAATATGTACAAAATGACTCTATTTCTTTATTTGTGAACGTTATAAACTGCAATAAACTTTTGTAACTGAAATAACACCATGGATAACTACCTCTTTATTATTATATTATTATTATTATTATTATTATTATTATTATTATTATTATTATTATTATTATTATTCATTATTACATTGAGTTCCCCTCGCTTGTCATAGTTGTCTCATTATGTTATACGTATACTAATTATATTTATCTGTTACTTTCGTTACACCAAAACAGATGTTCAATTTAATTTGTGAATTTCAGATTTCATTGAGACCATAATGTAATCCCTTTATCTAAATCATCTTTTTTTTCATTAAGTACTGGATGCGGGGCATACTGCGGAATTAGACGAAGTATCATAATAGGTAAACTGTAGAACATTTGCAAAGCACAGTTGCTCATTTCCTCAACCTTTCTTTGTAAATTCTTACACAGCCTGTATTTTGTAAATAATTATTATGGAAAGGCACTACCAGTTGACCCATGGTACATGGCTGGTGTACGCCATACTTTTACCTGTACCTGTCAGAGGTCATCTGAAACTAATCAATCCAGGAAATGTCCATGTCCTTAATAAATCTGAAATAAGTTTAAAAATAATAAAAGAAAATTTGAAAGGTTTCAGATTTGTCCAAAGGGGCGTTTATTTAGCATTTTGTGTGTTAACTTTATTTATAAAATATTATGTTCTTAACACTTAAACCATAAAATTCCGTTCAAGAACAATAACGCAAAATAGTTTTCAAATGAGCATATGTTTAGAATTTCGGATACACAGCCTCGCTCGCTGGAGATAAAAATGTTTTCTTTTTTTTCTGTATAACGTTGCCATAGCTCGCTTTGAAATCCTTGAGTTTCTTAATCAAACATTCGTTATTTTTTTTTCAAAATATGAAAACCATAATAAAACAAATTCGAAATACCAAATTACAGCAGCTCGTCGGGCGGGCCAGACTGCGTACTAAATAAATAAATAAATAAACTAGAGCTACCAGATGCCCATATTTGATGAAAGATTGCGTTATTAAAAAATGGATGGCTACCGTTATTTTATCGCGATGCGAGAAACATACATACATTTCGGCAGATTCTTCATTAGTTAATTTCTTCAAATATAATCCAGGACTCTAACATTTGGTGGCAACAGTTTGAAAAGTGAAACTGATATTTATAATGAACGAACACAAAATGCCAAAACGAAATTTATAGTCCTTCAGGGCAAATTGCCCCTTTAGGCTAATAGTTTATAAAAATGTATGCTCCCCTTTCTGATTAAAGAAACCGATTAAATTTTCAAGTTAAAAATATGTTTTATGTCTAACTTTATGTCTAAAATCAACGTTTCTTCTTTGGTTGAACTACAGTATTTCAATAGCTCCTGAGGATATCAAAGTCAGTCTGTTAGCAAATTACAGTCGTAATAATATCACCTAATTACTGTCCTTGCTTTTATCATGCTCAGGATTCTTTTGTCTCAAATTTTATACTAACCAAATTGCTTTGTTACGGTCAAATCAACCACGTTATAGACTTCTTCCAGTTTACTTCAATAATTATATTTTCTAGATTACCCTTTCGAGCTGAAATAAAGTTCTGAAGTCAAAATTCTGAATTAGAGAAAGAATAATGTAGGTAGGACAACGCAAACCAAATATAATGATCTAACGTAATTTAAACAAATCTCAAATCGTTAATAAACGACTATCACGTTACGATGAGGATGGTTTCTTTCATCGGAATTAAAATGTATTTCATGGCATTTCCTGAAAATTTAAAGTAGAATATATTATCTACCTTTAACGCTTCTACTTTGAGAAAGAATAGATTTGTGAATTGAGGCTTTTCCCAAATAAACTCATATAAAGTTTCGTAAGTAAAACCCGTTCACGTATTCCAGTAACATGAAAATTCTAGTTTTCCTCTTGAGTTCGCTCCAGTTATAAGCAAATTAAAGTATTAAATATTAAAGACGGCACTTGTAAAACAAATAAAAAATACCTAAATTGCGATAAAAGATGATATAATATTTATTGCATGCATAATTTAATGATCGAATGTGCCTCAAGTGATTATTCATTTGTACTACCTCGTGAATTCCCAACAAGACTTAAAGAACTCCTTGGATGCCCAATGAGAGTATATGAATATGTGCTGCGTAATACAGCATAATAAAAAAACTGTGAATTCTAATTAGGCTTATGTACGGCTTAATTTGTCATCCAGCGTTAAGTTTCGAATTCTTTCTGAAACTTTTATACTCGGGTATTAAACTGAAAACGAATTTGATGCGATAAAATCGAAAAAATTATTACGTTTCATATATTTGAAGCTAAAGCTAATTGTTAAGTGATACTAGAAGTATCTATTCAGAATTCCAACAGGAAATGGAACTGCAAAACGGAAACATGAAAAAAAATATTATTTCTACATACACTTCTAATTGATTCCCATCTGTTCTGTAAAATTCTTATGCAGCAGAATAATCCCTCGCTTCGAGGCAAAACGTTTGCTGCAATTTGCGTCTTACATTAAAAATCTTGAAACACATATCTAATTAAAGCGTCGTTTAAAATCATAATTTTTTAAAATGTACGTAAAAATTTCCTTTTAGCGTCTCCTAAAAAAGAAATACATTTACAGTATTCCTCAGAATGCATTTCTTTCAATTTCTGTGCCGCCTGCAGCAATATTTTAAACTATGTGTTTAGTCTTAATTAACGTAACTGTAACTATTTTGCAATTACTTTTCTGCATTCATTATTTTCAAGGTATAAGGTAATTTAAAATGAAATAACTGACAACATAGGTGACTGGAATGGCTTGAAATTGCTGCTTGAAAAAACTGCTACTTGAAAAGATATATATTTTCCCATTATTGCGTGCGTATCGGTTCGCAATAGCACATGACTGATGACAGGCTAATAAAATTTTATTTTTATCAAAAGAAATATTTCAGAACTCTGAATTTTCCACAGAAATATTCGTACAAGTGTTCACAATATCACACAGTATAATCAGTAGTTACAGTTCAAAGTAGTAAGATCGTAAAAAACATTGAAAAACGCATCTAAAGAGGGAGCTTACTCGGATATATCTCATTTCACTCAGAACTTACGAATTGCAGCAACAATAACTAAGCAACTGAGAGCAGATGATCTCTCTTCGGCCTTAAATTGTTTTCAACCTGCTGCGAGATATTTCTAATACCTCCTTCTCCTCGAAATTACTGGAAAGCAATGCGAGGGTGGAATTACGGTTACAGATAACATTATGGTCAATTACATTTATTCAATAATGTAATTGACAATAATAGCACAACTTATTACCGTGATACAGGACCGGACCAAAAGGCCGCCAAATGGCTCCAAATTTGGCGACTTTTGGCGATTCCTCGTCAACTTTGACAACAAAATAAATCGCTGAAACTATTGCTTGTCGGTCAGCTTGGCGAAATATCACCAAATTAATGAAACGCAATGTTTACTGCAGGTGCCCCTGTATTCTTACGTTTTCTGCAGAGCTTTGTCTTAAAATTTATCTCGCATTACGTTATACAGAAAAATACAATATTTTTTAATTCTATTAAAATTACCTATCTAATAACAAAATTATCAATACTATTTAGCGATTTAACCAACTTCAGTTTAAAGTATTTCAAACCGGTAGGAATATGCTGAATAAAATGCATAATGTATTTTGTGAACACCCCCCGAAAATGTTTGTAATACAAAATTGTGCTTTTCGAGATATGCATTTTTTTGTTTACATTTATATGCATCTTTGTATTCCCTTCCTAGTTTCGGAGATGGACTTATAAAATATCATACAGCACTCCAATAAAAATTAACTTATTTATTACATATCTGCAATAAAACTCTTAGCCGCTTGGATGAGAATTCTCGTTACCTGAATCACGATTGTAATAATTTTAGGCACATTTCCACAATTTTAAATATTTTGCATTCCATATAACAATATTTTAATAACATTAGTAATATTTTCAATATATTTAGATTTATGTATTTGAGACAAATAGATAAATAGGTTCGACCAAATAATGTAAAGCAAATTAAAACAATATTTATCGTCTTACTCTTTTTAATTCTAAAACGTAATTTTCCCTTTTAATGAATTCATATTACTTTAGTAAGATGTATTCCTTTTACATTCAAAGTCCAGAAATCTATTGATAGTTTCATGGAAACAACAGCAAACATAACAAGTTCTGTTTCACTCATTATGAATCCGATAGAGAGTCTCACGTGGAGATAATTTTTTTTTCTGTACAGTGTTGCCATTGCTCGCTTTGATATCGATGAGTTTCTTAATCAAAAACTCATAAATGCTTTATAAAATATGAAATTGATAATAAAGCAAACCAAATTTGGGCTTCCAGAGGCCCATATTTGTGTGGAGATGTACGTTATTCAAACTTCGAAGGCTCTAGATACCGTTGTATCATCACAATGCAAGAAACATATATACATTCATGCAGATTCTTCATTATTTCATTTCTTTAAATATAACACAAGGATTTAATACTTGGTGGCAACAACTTAAAATGTGATTCGCCGTTTACAGTGAATAAACGCAAATTGTCAAAACGAAATTAATTGCCTTTATGGGAAAATTCCCCCTTTGGGCTAAAAATTATCTATATTAGTAAATTTGGTATCAAGTACCTTCGCGATTCTGCACGTAGAGATAATAAACTAATTCTGAATTTCGGTCTTAAAGTTATAATAAATATTTTACTAACTGGCCTTTTTGGTTTAATGGACTCATATTAAGAAAAACTAGTATTTTCCCCCTGTTTATACAGCCCTCCTTCCAAACGTATTGAATTATTTTCGTAACATTATCGTCCTTAAGCGAGGATATTTGCAAACATACCTGAACAATGTTTAATAAAATGAAGCCTATATCTATCTTTCTCCAGTGCCTTGTATAAAAACTTCAAAATATTGTTTAATGCTCTTATGTATGTACATTCATCTCATATTACATCAGTAGGGAATACACTCTAAGGCACTACACGCAGATGGCTCTAAGGGCAAATGACTCGTATTAACAAGTTACATATGGAGAAAAACCACGAAAAAGCCCATGCAGCCAGGCCGTTCGTGGGTTCGTACCTCGGACCGAACTACTGTATTCAGAGCTTCACCGCGTGGCCGCTGGTGGCCATAATAGCATACTGTTATCTACTTAACTGCTCAAGATGTTTGTACAGTAATTAGACTTTATCAAACTCAGAAAATTGAAGAATATGCAGAACCCTTGCCGGAATTCTAAGTCCGGACTTCCCAAATATGCGTTGAATATGTCTCCAGTTACCACGAAGGCATGCGGAAAGGAGGGAGAAAATAGCTTATATACTACTTCCTATTTTTATAAGACCCTCTTGGAATGAGGGAACTCATACGTCATATCCTGACTGCCACGAATAGTCGTCCACCATATTTTTTTCCTTCTAGTTCGGGCGCCACTTGCTGAGCCCTTAGAATTTTTTCTAAGTTAGGAAACTGAAGAAATTGCAATCCCCTCACTAGGTTTCGAACTCCGGACCTCTCGAATGCACATCGAGCTTATTTCCTGTTACAGCACGAAAGGGAGAAAGTAGAAAATACCATGTTTATATTATGTAACGTCTAGTTAATTGCAGTTGTGTCTTAAATCCATAAGACCGTTAACTTCTTATAAGATGTGAAATCGTCTCCATTTTTCATGCTTTCAGTAGCATAATCGATAAGACAAAATACAACCCTGTTCTTGAGCGAAACATTTTAGAATTATAGTATATGTGGTGTTATAGCTATTTGAAGTTATCGTTAGTCTGTCAATATTAAATTTTCTGTAACTCTGGAGTTACCACTACACAGAAAAGTTTTGTTTTTTATTTTTTAATTATTATTGAGAGGGTTATTAAATTAACATATCATTTCTGAAGCGCCTCTCCTTTCCATATCTGTATGCAAGGTAGCCTGCTAATTAAATCACTCGACGAATACAGAAATGGTTAAATTATTTCTGTTATTAAAACGGAAACTCAGCGGGGAATTTCTTTTATTCCTGTTAAACACGAACTGTTTTTTCTGCAGTATCTGAGTCTTTAATCCTTTGGGACAGCATAACTGAGAAATTAAATCCCAGACCTGTTTGTTTTCATACTGTGAATAATTAACAGTAAGTACGATTAAATATAGAATCCTATTTAATTTCGTTAAGGTATATATGAAGAGATCAAATGAGTCGTAAATTAGGGTAACTATTCACATTTTAACTAGAGTATATCTAAATAAATTTTGTAATTTTTTTTATTTTTGTATAATTTTGTAATTTTTACATAAACCTATTTTATTGATTTTATTGTTTCACTATACACAGCTGCAGCAAATATACACCATGCAGTGTTCTAATTAACCAAAGAAATTAAACAATAGTTTTTTTGTGTTTTAAAATGGAAAATGAAAATCAAGCTCATATAATTTTTAATTTTATTTTTCAAATTAAAAAAAATCAAATTATTTAATTTTGTTTAAAATTTTGCATTATTTTATTTTGGAATGATTTTTCATGAACGTGTTTACAGTATCTTTTGTGTCTGCAGTTATTATATTCATATATAAAATTGAAATGTTATTAAATAGCAGAAAATATCACTTAAAATAAAAAGAAAATATATTTACATTTTGATTCTAATGATTGGAAAAAAAAATATTAAATTAAGAATAAGGTCGGAATCATACAAATTTCAATGGGCATATGTATATATATTTACCTATTATATTTTTAGACACAGTTGCTACTGAATAGATGTTACAATTTCACTAATATATAATTGAATCTAAATACGTCTCCATCTTATTTGTCAGTTATTTTATGTCGTGGTCTGTCTTATAACTTATTCGACTGAAGTGAAATCACCTAATTTGTGATTAATACGATTTAATAAAATTTTGTAAACAAATTAAATTTTAAAAACTTTTACAGAAGGACATGCATGAAAACTGCAATGCATATTGTAATTGAAATTGGAATGTGAATTTTAATAAAAGTTGTTCTTTGGAGAAGGAATACATACACTTTAACCCTTTGAAAGCCAAAATTTCCGACACGCCCTTTCATTCAAACGACCACAACAGCAGAAAGCGGCCGAGATTGCAATGCTTTCTCCCCTATTCCTAAGGTATGCAAGAGGAGGTGCAGTTCCCCGAAATGCATAGCATCAGTTTATTGCAGACACCTTTTCCTAAAAGGCTGATAGAAGCTTCTTTGTTAGGAAGTAGAAAGGATGTTATTTGAAATCTTCAGATCTCTTTGTGCGTTTATTGGCGGGGAGAGGAGGAATCGGACGCGTAAGGTAATAGAAGGAGACGGCTGTTTTGATATTTTAAGCATACAGTTTAGGAAATGCTTCGTTTTTGTAAGGGCTAAACTCTCAAGCCAGAAGCAACAGACATCTTTTCTTGCAGAAAAAAATATGCAATGAAAATTTTCAAGAACATTTATTCTTGTCCTGTGCTCGTAGTATTCGTTGTTAGTTTTCGCATTTATATATTTAATAATATATTTCTTTATTTCGAACATAAGAGAATTATTAAAATATTATCAAGCTATTTATAAATTGGGAGACTGAACATATTTATAATGATTTAGAGAAAAAAGGGAAAGCAATTTTTTTTCAAAACCATAATGATTTGTTTATTGTTTTCAATACCACTTGTCCAAAAATATTTTATTGTTGTTTATATGCGTAAGATTTTCAAGTAACTTTGCGCAAAGCTCTTAAGATGTCGGTGATTCACGAACGAGAAACAAATAACAGGTTTCCCAATTCCATAACTTGTATTTTATAATACTGTAATCATACTCTTCAAATAGAATGCAAAGTACTTTATCTTCAAAAACTGTCCCATAAGACCTTAATCTGTGTCTTTGATATCATAATTATTAGGTCACTTATAAGCTTCTTTAGAATTCCGTATTATTCATAGGTAGATGGACTTTTGAGTAATATGCATAAATTATTTTATATTCATTTGTTTTCGTTTGCGCGGGGGAAATATTATCACAAGAATAATGCTTTTCTGCTCATATTATAATAAGATGATATATAAATATTAGAGCTATTGCTATTTTCTTTTAGAAACTTTATTTGGGGTATTATACAATTTAAGAAATCTATTCATTATTTTATTGTGGTTTCACTATAAACAGATGCAGCTAATATACACCATGCCAGTTTCTTAATTAACCAAAGAAAATTAAAAACAATAGTTTTTGTTTTGTGTATTAAAAATGGAAAAGAAATCAGCGCATATAATTTTTAATTTTATTTTTCCAAATTAAAAAAAAATCAAATATTTAATTTTGTTTTTTAAAAATTTTGCATTATTTTATTTTGGAATAATTTTTCATGAACGTGTTTACAGTATCTTTTGTGTCTGCAGTTATTATATTCATATATAAAATTTAAATGCTACTAAATGGCAGAAAATATCACTTAAATAAAAAGAAAATATATTTACATTTTGATTCTAATGATTGGAAAATAAATTCTTAAATTAAGAATAAGAAGGTCGGAATCATACAAATTTCAATGGGCATATGTATATATTTACCTATTATATTTTTAGGAACAACCAGTTGTACTGAAGATGTTACATTTTCAATAATATATAATTGAATCTAGATACGTACCATCTTATTTGTTAATTTAAACTTATTGGATTGAATTAAAATCTATTTCGCGACAGCGCATTAACCCAAAGAAATAACAAGATTCTTAAAATCACTCTGTTTACCATAGCGGACACACTGGCGCAAGGTTCACTTAACAGTATTATTATTTCGTCATAAAACTATGTATATGTCTATGTCTTACACTTAGTAAGAGGAAACGAACATTAAACGGTCTTTACCAATAATGATTACTTAACTTTTAAATGCTTGAAGATCGAGTAAGCTGTATCCAATAATATGGAAGTAGTACTGTAACGGCATGCTGTGCTAGAACTCAGAGATTACTAGCGACGCAGGCTCCTGTGCCGCCGTCCTTAGAATAAGTAAACATTGAGCAAATGAGGTGCTCGTGTGGCGCCATCTATTAGTAGGGATCAAAAGCATTTTAGTTGACTAGAGCTCTAGTTGCGCCATCTCTTGCAGGATGTATTGTAATGAATTTTTAAAATTGAATAAAAAT